GAAACTGTTCGCTGCGATACGTTGCGGGAAACGGGTTGCGATATTAAATTAAAAGAACGTTGCGTAAATTTATTAAATATATATATATATATATATATATACGTATGCAATGTGAATGATGAGGTAAACAAGGTGGAAAGGAAGGTATAAGCGAGTTGCAGGAAATTTCGTTTGAATCGGGGAGAACCGGCATGAAAGAGAAAACGAACGTTGAAGAAAAGTAACGTAGACGCGCTACAGTGCACCCTACTTCGCTTCCTTCCCCACTACTTTCGATCCGAGTCTTTCAAAACCTCGTAGCTTTCACGTTGTTGCAAATAAACCCCCCTCCCCTCCAATCGTTTTCTTAAAAACGATCGCCTGATCAACTGTGGATATATATATATATATATATTTCGTGATAAAATTTTGAGATAACGGAATGGAACGAGATCGAGGAGAATTTTGGAAAATTTTGTACGACGTAGAGAAATATTGGACGGAATGATTTCTCGTCTGCCTTCGCTTGGAAATAAATAAAGTCGGCGAAGAAGAAAGGACGTGTGTGCGTGTACGTGTGTAATGAAAATTGGATGAACGAGGGAAGAGAGAAGATGCATATCGATGGACCATCGCGTACGCGCCTCGAAGCTGTGGAAAATGAATGGTGGAATACAGGGATGAATATTGGGGAAAGATTCGCTCTTAAAAATTGATAGGTTTCAATCACGTGCTCTATTTCACAGAGTGCCTGGAGTCAGTGGACGAGGCACGCTCATAGATACGAGAGGGGATACAATTACAAAATTTTATTCCCCCTCAAATATTCGTGGAGGGGAATATATTCTTTCTTCCAAGCCGATCAAAATTTCAAAATGCGCAAAACAAATCTCTCTCTCTCGTTTAAACATCGTACACGCGTTTTATTATTATTTGTTACACGCGTTAACAATATTCGCCATCCGATATTTCACCTCAATTTCTGTACGTTCCATCCGTATGTTCATTACGATTTGCATATCATCCCCCCCTCCGTGTAATTTCCATTAAAACATTACCGCGGAGAGAGATAAAAATATCGATTCAAAAATCGTGGACAACGTTTCGTCGAATTTTCCTCGAATCAATTCGAAACGAGAAATCGTGAAATCGTTCGTTTACCTTCTCAAATAGTCGGGACAAAATGAAGACTTGGCTATATTTTATTAATATTCGTCGGTTTAACATTATTTTTCCCCGACTCGAGATATCCACAACGCGACTTCCGACAAGCGACTGCGCCGATGGAACAATATCGATAACTCGCTTAGATCGTCAGAGCGCGAAAGGGAAACGTATTGTTGAAATTTAATTAAAACCAATTTCGAGCACCACTCGAAAGACGAGTGGTCTTATATCGGCTGTAACCATCTTTTGCCCCAACCATCCTAGCCCCCTCCCTCTCTCTCTCTCTTCCCCTCTCCTCCGACTCTGGGGCCCTCTGCGTTGCCCCAGCTAACGACGGAGGTAAAAAACGAGATCTAGTGGCTAATTAGCAGACCTTCGGTCGTTCGAAAAAAAGGAGAAAGAGAAGAAAAGGGAGAAAAAGAAAAGAAAAAAAAAATCGGTGTACACCGAGATTCCGTGTAAACTTTGATATTTCCACCCCCCCCCTCCTCTTCTTCCTAGTTGAAAAGAACAATAAAAAAGGAAAGAAGAAAAGAACGACTTTTCCGTGAATAGTTAGATGCATCGGATTTAATAAAACCGATCTGATCGACGCGTCGTTTGAAATATTATTCTCAACTTTCAATTAATAACGTTACCGATTAACCCGGAGAGATTAATTTTAATGGATGTATTTTAGCGAGATTTATATAATTTTCAGTGAGAATTTCAATTTCTTGAAGAAGAAAGAGGATTCGTTAATTCTTCTTCCATTCTTTTCTTTCCTTTTCTTTTCTTCTTTCTTTCGACAATGATATATAATATCAAAACCGATTAATTTATCGCGATCATTTCCACGAGGATCATTTTTCGAAATTGGCCGGAAGCGAATTATATTATATTAAAACCGTATTCCGTATAATAATAATTGTTGGAATAATCGTTCACTTGCGCCAAATAAATAAAGATATTGAATAATTCAATAAAGCCATTACATTGCATATTAACGTAACGTAAATAGACGTTACATCGATACACCCGTACCGAGATAAATCCCCATAGATCGTGGAAAAAAGATCGGCGGCGGTTGTATCAATCATCCGCGAAGAAAGGCGACTGCGGCGGCGGCTCTTCAACGAGGCGGGGGTCTGTTTGACGCGTATCATCGACGAGAGATAAACTAATTGCAAAATCAATTCTCGTAATAAAGTGCACATATTTATAATTGTATACGCCGTATAAATATTAATCGATCCGAGTGTGGTGGCCTCACATTTGGCGAATACACGTGTGCATCTACCCACCGGTTATTTCATTATATATATGAACGCGAAATTGCAGTTGTTGTCAACTGTGACAGATCGCCCACTTATTTCCGATCGATAGACCGACAAAGGTCTAATCAACCGTGTTCTCCTGTGTTCCTACGTATGCAGGGGCCCTGCTCGCAAAATTGGCGTCGCGCATTCGTTAGAAAGCGATGGAATACCAATTTCCATTCCACGCGTGTCTCTCGACCATCGAGACGGGTGGTGAAAGAATATTTAAGTAAAATTAGAAGAGAATCTCGCGAAAGTTGATAACATATTATTCTTCTCTCCGATTCTCTAATACAAAATAGCGTATCAATTTATAACAATCCTTGAAGAGACTCCACCGAGAGGGTGAAGGGTGTCCAAGGGTTGCCGAAAATTCTTCTTTCTTCGAAACAAAAAGCAATCGTAACGTAATAAAGTAATAAAGTAACCGAAAACATATCCAAATCCACTCTCCAATCCCTGCAAACTCGAGCATGAAACGGCCAATTTCCGCAACGATTCGCGCCATCCTTTTACATCTAAGCTACACCCTCCGACGCGCGTCACGTGTTCGTACACAACCGAATTTTGGGCGAGCAAAACTCTTTTTTTTTTCCCCCTTCCCTCTCTCTTTCTTCTTTTTTTCCCCCAGTATTAGCAGCGGCCTGTTTTTTTTCGAACGGGTATCGATCCAGGGCGGCGAAGCTGCGTCGAGCGGAATGAGGCAGGCACAGTCTTGCGTAACGAACTGAGCCACGCCGGCACAAATAATGGGGGTTTTGTTTGGCGAACGGGGTAATTCGTTTATCTCCTTTTTCCAGCAATCCGCCGCCGGACAACACGGGGCCACGGCCACGGAGGGGAGGGGGTGGATTGTCCAGCCTCGAATCAAACGGAATTACATTGCATTCGTTTCATCTGATCGTAAACAGTTACGTGTTAACAAACGCGTGTTTGCTGGATACGGGCGTGGGAGGAGGTAAAGACGAAGGGAAAGAAAGATGGACGAAGAAGAAAAGGATGGAGAGAGGGTTGGAGAGAGAAGAGGTTTAACGCGCTGGATCATCGTTATCAATTAATAAGGGCGCAGCATTGGTTTGGGAATTGGCTCCATCGATCTTTATTTCCTTGTGAAAGGAAATAATTCTTAACTCTTTGACTTGGCGACGAGTAACGTGAAGTGATTTTATACGTTTCTTAACACATTGGGTAGAGACATCTCGTTTCGATGTTTTCTACGAGGAATTAAAAACACTCGAAGCAATAATAACTGAGAAGGAATTCCCGACAAAAAAATGTAAAGTCTGTTCGTCCAATGGAAAAAGGAGTTAAGCCATTGCACAAAGGAGAATGTTTCATCTGAAGCATTATTCGAGTTCGTAGAGTAAATAATGATTAATTTTATTTATGTAATAAATACCAGTTAAAATGTAAGAAATCCTGCATGATAAATAGATGTGCAAGAAATATATAATAATATTTAAGAATACTTTATAAACACGAATTAAAAAGTGCATATATGCATACTACTTTTCTTTCGAGCACTCAAAAATGTCCTCTGAAAGGACAAAGTAACGCAACGTGTTAAAGGAAATTATTTACAAATTGCTAATT